ACTAGACATGTACTACATGTACTCAATGAAAGTTCCTTATGTTGACAAGTTTATTACAGTCTCTTTGGTCAACTTACAGAGGTACTACTGTATTTGCAAATCCAGGTTCACTACATCATTATTCACAATAGCCAAAAGATAGAAGCAATCTAAGGACAGAGAAAATGTAGCATTTACATACAAGGGAATATTATCAAGCCTTAAAAAAGAAAGAAACCTTTTCACATGCTGCAATATGTATGAAAATTGAGAAACTTATGCCAAGTGAAATAAGCAAGTCACAAAAAGATAAACACAGTATGATTACACTTATATGAATGTTTCAGTCCATTTCTGTTGTTAATCACAAAATACCACAGACTGGATAATTTACAAAGACAAAAAGTTTATTTAGCGCATGGTTTTGGAGGCAGGCAAGTCCAAGAGCATGGTATTAGCACCTGGCAAAGGCCTTCTTGCTGTATCATAAGATGGTGGAGGGTATCAAATGGTGAGCACAGGAATTTCACAGCTCAAGTCTCTATTTCTCTTCTTATAAAGCCACCAGTCCCACCATGGGGGTCCCACCCTAATGACTTTATCCAATCCTAATTACCTTCCAAAAACCCTATCACCAAATTCCACAAACATATGGGGCCAGACACAGTGACTCAAGTGCTTTATAATCCAAGCACTTTGGAAGGCCAAGAAGGGAGATCACTCAAGGCCAAGGGTTCTAGACTAGGCAACAAAACAAGACCCCTATCTCTACAAAAAAATAAAAACATTACCTAGGCACAGTGGCCTGTGCTGTATCCCACCTACTTTCTGCAGGCTGAGGCAGAAAGATGGCTTGAGCCCAGGAGTTCAAGGCTACACTAAGCTATGATCACACCACTTCCATTCCAGTCTGGGTGAAAAAGAGAGACCCTATCTCTAAAAACATTTTTTAAAATTAAAAACATATGAATTTGGGGATTAAATTTCCAATGTATGGAATTAGGGACACATTCTTAGCATAGTAATGATGTATCTAAAGTAGTCAACCTCAAAAAACAAAAAGTAGAAGTGTGGTTGCCAGGGGATGGTAGAAGGGAAAGATAGGAAGTTGTTCAATGGATAATAGTGTCTCAGTTTTGCAAGACAAAAAAGTTCTAGATATCTGTTGCACAACAAGGTGAATATAGTTAAAACTACTGACCTATAAACAGACGAATGGTTAAGATGGTAAAGTGCGTATGTTTTAACCACACCTTTTTAAAATAACAAAAATAAAATATGATTTGGTTACAACTATATTTGGCACAAATAGAATTAATACAAATTATATGTTAAAATGCATTAATTCAGAAAAGTCAGAAAATATAAATAATAAAATTTTCAATCCTCTCAATTCTCTTTTGTACTTAGTGAATTAGAGGGTTCATGGAAAGAAGCATAGTAGGTATTCATAAGTACCTACCTTCTTTCCATCTTTTCCTTTTTCATCCATTCAACCTGTGCCAAACTCAAAATCTATGCACTGAATCAAGACAAGAAAAGAAAGAAGAATGAGATGTTTTGCACCTCTCTTCCCTTTGCAGTTCTCTACAATAGACACAGCAGTTTTAGTTTGGGAACAATGAGGGAAAAAATAGAGAACCACAATTTCAGCCTTCTAATTATGAAAACCAGGCCATTTCTTCTATTTTCAAAGTCAAGATGACAGCTCTGCCAGGCAACAGACAAACGTCTGAATACCCCAAATCTTTGAAACCAAATAAAAAATTAATTTCAACAATAAAATATTGTGAATCTGGGAGCTCCTGGGTTAGGTGCGTATATATGTAGAATGATTATATCTGCTTATTAAATTGCTACCTTTACTATTATATAATGACAACCTTTGTCTTTTTATATCATTGTTGATTAAAAGTCTTTTATCGGTGGCTTGGCACCTGTAGCACAGTGGTTGTGGAAAAAATATGCCACATATTTTTTCCATCACTTCAACTTAAGGATGTGTGAGTCTTTGTGAGTTAGATGTGTTTCCTGGAGACAGCAGATACTTGGATTGTGTTTCTTCATTCATTCAACCAGTCCATATCTTCTTATTGGGACTTTTAGACCATTCACATTGAGCGACAGCATCTACACTTGGAATGCTGTTCTGTTTATAATGTTGGGTGATACCTTATTGTTTTGTTTTCCCTTTTGTGTTTTTGTTTTATCAGAGTTGTGAGCTTTAATTTTTGGGTGTTTTTACACTGGTGGGTTATCTACTGTGCTGTTCCTTTATAATGTCATTCTGAGTATTTCCTATAGGGCAGGTCTAGTAGTTACAAATTCCCTTAATGGAAAATTCCCTGTCTGGAAAAGTCTTTATTTCTCCATCAATTATGAAACTTAGTTTTATAGAACACAAAATTTTTTACGTTGGTGTTCTGTTTAAGAAACTGAAATGGTTCCCCAATCCTTTAAGGCTTGTAAGATTTCCACTGAGAAGTCTGCTGTTAGCCTGATGGGTTTTCCCTTGTAGGTTAGTTGTTGCTTTCATCATGCTGCTTATATAATTTTCATCTTCATTTTGACTTTGGCTAGGTTGATAACTATATGTGTGAGAGAAATCCTATTTGCTATAGATCTTCCTTGTGTTAGATGACCATCTTGTATCTGTATATCTCAATCTCTGGTGATACTAGAGAAATTTTCCTCAATAATTCCCTTGAATATATTTTTTTTCATGTTTTTACTTTTTGTTCTCCCTCAGGAATATCTATAATTCATATATTAGTTAATTTCACATAGTCCCATGTTTCTCTAAGCAATTTTTCACTCTGAAGACATCACATTACCAGACTTCAAATTATACTACAAGGTTATAGTAACCAAAACAGCATGGTACTGATATAAAAGTAGACCAGTACGGGTGATACCTGTGGCTCAAAGGAGTAGGGAGCCAGCCCCATATGCCAGGGGTGGCAGGTTCAAATCCAGCCCTGGCCCAAAAAAAAGTAGACCAGTACATATAGACAAATGGAACAGAACAAAGTGCCTATACATGAAACAATCCACTTATAATCAATTGATCTTCAAAAAATCAGACAACATACACTAGGGAAAGAAACCCCTATTCAATAAACAAACTGAATAGCCACATGCAAAATAATGCAAGAAGACCCTTATCTCTTGCCATATAAAAAAATTAATTCAAGATGGATTAATGTCTTAAATGTAAGACATGAAAACATAAAAATTCTAGAAGAAAACATAAGGAAAACTCTTCTAGACATCAACCTAGACAAAGAATTTATGACTAAGAACCCACAGGAAAACACAGCCAACAACAAAAATAAATATTAATAAATCAAGCTTGATTAAATTAAAAAGCTTCTGCACAGAAAAGGAAATGAGCAACAGAGTAAACAGACAACCCACAAAATGGGAGAAAGTATTCACAAACTATCTTATCTGATAAAAGGCTGATTTCCACAGTCTACAAAGAACACAGATCAGCAAGAAAAAAAACCCATTAAAATATGGGCAAAAGATATGAACAGAAGTTTTTCAAAAGAAGATAGACAAATGGTGAATAAACATGAATAAATGCTCAACATCACAAATCTTCAGGGAAATGCAAATTAAAACCACAATGAGATACCACCTTATCACTGTCAGAATGACTTTATTGAAAAGTCAAAAAAAAAAATAGATAGCAAGTATGTAGAGAAAAAAGAATACTTAAATACTAAAAATTAGTATAACCTCTCTAGGAAATAGCATGGAGATCCCTCAAAGAAATAAATGTAGTCTTACCATTAGATTCAGCAATCCCAACTATTAAAATTGATTTTTTTTATTACAAGAGTTGTTCGAGCACAAGGATAATGAAATATATTTTCCATGCAAAATATTATATACATTAAATAACATACAGTGGTAACAATGCAGTGTAGGTTTCCTGAGAAGCAAGAACTATTAAAATTGTAATACTCAAGGCACATTTGACTTATGCAATTACAAGAGATACAAGATACGATGTATTTAACATTATATATATATAGATTATGTAACATTGTATATAACATTGTATATACAATGTACATAACACTGTAGATAACAAGCATGATAGGTATATACTGAGTATTATAATTTTTTTTTCAGACAGAACCTCAAGCTATCCCCCTGGGTAGAGTGCCATGGCATCATAGCTCACAGCAACCTCCAACTCCTGGGCTCAAGCAAGTCTCCTGCCTTAGCCTCCAAGTAGCTGGGACCACAGGCACTCACCACAACGCCCGGCTATTTTCTGTTGCAGCCGTCATTGTTATTTTGGTGGGCCCGGGCTGGATTCGAACCCGCCACTTTAGGTGTATGTGGTTGGCACCTTAGCCACTTGAGCCACAGGCGCCAAGTATTATAATTTTAATAGTTTTTTCCTTTCTTATTTTATTTTTGGTTTTTTTCTTTTATTATTCCATCCCAATTTTCTTGCCTCCACCTCCCAAGCAGCTGGGACCACAGGCGCCCGTTTTTTCCTTTCTTAAAATGTGCATAAATATTTTGGCACCCTCTGCATATACCATGGGAGAAATGAAATATTGTCTTTCACAGCAACTTGGATGGAAATAGAGATCATTATCCTAAGTATCTCAGGAATGGAAAAACAAATACTACCCATATTCTCTAATAATTAGGAGCTAATTGATGGCCCTTGTATGGGCACAAAGAAATGTAAAGGTCATAGGAAATCAAGGAGGGGTAAGGATCTACCTACTAAGTACACCATTTGGGTGATGGGCACACTAAAAGCCCCAACTTAAGCTATAAAAAGTACCCAAATAACAAAACCATTCATACCCCCTCAATACTTTGAAATTAGAAAAATATTATTATGCTCTCTGACATTCACACTTAATGTACCAGACTTTATTTCAAATTAAAGACAGAAAAAATAAGAGACTACAAGCAGATATAACACACATTTTCTTTACTAACCAATGAAACAAAACTTAAGAAATTATATCTCATAAATGAACAGCTTATTCCATTAAGAAATGCCTCACTCTACAATCTCTTTTAACTGATTTTCCATCAATTTCATCACACTTTGTTTCCTTACTTCTGTTTGGGTGAAAAGTCCCATAATAAACAATAAGAAAAAGAATTCCTAAGAGAAGAGTTAGAACTATAGTGATACTGATAGGTATAAAATAATCTGCATTAAAAATAGACAGAGGGAAAACCCAGAACACACTTAGTATCCCCAACGTGGCTAGTACCCTTATAATATAATAACAAGACATTGGACATCTGGTATTATGTCCCTTAATATTAAAAAATGTAAAGATAAGAAGGAATCCAATAACAATCCGGTATAAGAACTCCATACTTATAGAAGTACAAAACTGAGTTTGATTTTTAAATGCCCATATTATACCTAAAATCCAAAGTAATAATAACAGAAATAAAGCAATTTTAATATTTAGGAATAGTAGAAGTACAACACTCAGCATCCAAGATAATAATGTAAACAATTTGTAAAAGAGATATGTGACTTTGGGACAGAATCCTTTAAGGAGATTTTTATCAGGCAAGGATTTTCTTAAAGATATTTGATAATCAACAGTTGACCAAGAAATAGCACAGCAAGAGACCACGATGGCTGAATCTATAAAACAAAAAATAAAAAATATATAGTGTTACAGGAGCAATTATAACAATATTAATTATATGCCATAAGTGCTGTACACACATACCCACAAACACATGTCAAGTACTTTATTCATCTAATTTAATCATCTGAGGTAGATATTAATATTCCCATATGCTACCTGAGCTGGCACTGAGGCTTAGAAAGATATATAATTTAATCTAAGTCACACAGCTAGCAAGTTACAGAATTGACACTCGAACCTGAAGCTATCTGGTTCCAAAGTTACTCTGTTTATCCACTGAATTAGATTGATTTATAATGATTTTGAATAAATTCATTGGATAAATTTTATAAAACAACTTGGAAACTAGAAACTACATGCTCTGGGAGTTAAGAGACTATAGTTATAGTCACAGCTGATCTATACTTCTTAGCTGTAACCTTAGGCATATACCTCGTTCACTAAGAAACTGCTTCAAAGAGGGAAGAAGGGGCAAGAGGGGAGAGAAGTTAAACAAAAAGTTTAACCTAAATATGAGGTATTAACAAGCTCGATTTCCCATATCCCAAAGACAGTGAATTGAATTTAAAAATATGTTCTAAAACTTACAAATTTCTATAGGTTTGACATCTTTACCCCACTTTTTTCCAACAACAGACGAGCAAATTTAGTATTATATTGGAAAGGCAAGAAATTTATTAGCCCCACTGACAAAGCTGGGGATTTTTATAAATGAAACCCAAGATTAAGGAATTAAAAAGATAGTTTAGAACAGAATGCAGGGTGCTAAACTTCATTGGAGATCTGTATAATATGACATAAAGGCAGACTTATGTGGGGGTAAAATCCCGCAAACCATGTGCTCATTGTATTACAGAAAGCACGTTTATGGCTTCTGTTTCTAGGCAACCTGGAGGCTGGGCCATTTTCCGTTTATCAACCCCTAGGCTGTGTCTCTGCAGGAAGGTTTCTAACCCTTGCCTCGCACGCTTAACAGCCACATAGCCAGAGTCACTGAAGATGGGTTTTTAGGCCCAAATCCTCAGCCCCTGTTCTATGTTGACCAAGGCTACTGGGTCTTCGACCGAGTTGCTTTCCACAGAAGTCTGTCCACCTGCTTCTGGAGTTTTAAAGTGAGCACATAGTTTGTGGGGTTTTACCCCACAGACTTATGATATTTATCTATTGATGAAGATGATGAAGATGGGGCCTTATAAATGTCTTTATGCACTCTCTTGATTTTAGCATCTACCAGGCTGGACCTCACTAGTCAGGCTTCTTTTCTTCTTTAATTCAAAAATACATTTGAATTAAAGTATCACTTTCCTCTAAATTTCCCTGTCTTTTTTATAAATAGATTTTAATTCCTACCAAAGTAACAGATATCTATAGCTTTTAAAAGTCAAAGAGTTCTACAAAGCTTATAAGAAAAACATTAGTGGGGAGGATGGGATCAGTAAATTCACACCTATTTGCATATGGTACACACTGTCTAAGTGGGGGAGACACTTAAACACAAAGTATGTAAAAAAAAAAAAATGTGTGTACCCTCTAATATCCCGAAATTTAAAAAAAAATTAAAAGAAAAAGAAAAACAACAGTACCTTGCTCTACCACTCACAGCCCTCCGCTGCAAGTCCCAGAGGAAACCACTACCAACATTTCTATCTTTTCTTCTCATACATATTATCGCATTTCTAAATAAAATATATATTGTGCTTAATGGATTCATATCTATTTTAGGCACTGCTTATTGATTACCTACTTGAAAAGAGGAAAATTTAACACATATACACACACTCTCATTTTCCTTTCCCTCTATCTGCCTAACAAACATCACAATTTTTGGTGAAAATCAATATTCAGTGTTCAACTTTTTACAACCATGTAAGTACAGCTCTTGGTATTGGTTACTTTCTCTTTAACCACTCTTACTATATTTCCTTTTTTTTTTCTTGAGACAGTTTTGTTCTACTGCCCTGGCTAGAGTACAGTAGTGTCATCCTAGCTCACTGCAACCTCCAACTCCTGGGCTCAAGCAAACTTCCTGCCTCAGCCTCCCGAATAGTTAGGATTACCGGTGCATGCCACCAAGCCTGGCTAATTTTTTCCATTTTTTGTAGAGACACTCTTGCTCAGGCTGGTCTCAAATTCCTGAGTTCAATAGATCCTCCTGCCTCAGCCTCCCACAGTGTCAGGATTATAGGATTACCCCATCCACTCCATATTTCCTTTCTTTTAAAACTTTTCATGTTTCCTGGAGTTAATAATTGCCCTGTTTTCTTACCTGTTTGGTTTTTCATGATCCTATCATTATTTCCTCAAAAAATATTCAAACTAATTAATTATTTAAACTCTTCTAGATATACATCTATTAATTTTTTTCTTTTTTTTTTTTAGAATACCACCCTCCTGCTCTAAGCCAATTTGCTCTCCAGACTTGCTGTTTTCCCAGAATTCCCCTTCACCTCACTTCTATGTCAATTACCTGTTTCCTGTATCCCCTAATTTCTTGCTTTATTCTCATGTTTTGATTAAGCATTCTCCAGGCCTTCCTGAGAAAAGTAGCTCAGAAGCTATATTTTTTGAGGCCATGTATGTCTCAAAATGTCTTTTTTCTACCCTTATTCTTGATAAGACAGTTTTACTAGAAACAGAATTCAAAGTTTAAAAGTGTTTTCCATTGAAACCTTGAAGTCATTGCTGTATTATGTTCTAATTTTAACTATACAGTTAAGAAATGCAATGCCATCCAGTTTCTCTATCTTGAGTAACTGATTTTTTTTCTCTCAACTCTTCTAAATCTTATCTTTCTTTGCTTTTCTGCTTCTCTGCTTTCTTTGCTTTTCTTTCAATATGCTTGATGTGAATCATTTTTATTCACCCACATGCTTTAATGATATGCCCTGTTTTTATTATTGGTGATTTCCCTTGCCTAATCACATTATATAGATTCTTGTTAATTAGTTCTCCAACCTTTTTAGCACCAGGGACTGGTTTCATGGAAGATAATTTTTTCATGGATGGGGGTGGGAGCGGACAGGAAGAGGAGCCTGGTTCCTAACCAGGTCACAGATCCCTTGGAGGGCTGGGAGTTGAAGACCACAGATAGAGCACATTATTAAAGATATCAGTAGCAGTATCCCAAAATTTGACAACAATAAAAAAAAAATGATATTACCAATAAGTTATGAAAAACTTTTCTGAACTAAAAGTAAAAAAAAAGAATTTCAATCAACTATGCTAGAGAAAAGATTGAATTATTTTTTTATTCTCTCAATGAAAATTATGTCATAAAATCATTATCAAATCTAGAGCCAGAATACAAACCATAAAATTTAGAGAAAACAGCATTAAAGTCATAGTTTTATTTATTACTTTTCTTCCTTTTGTGAAATCTGTGGTATCAACTTTCTTGCATCTGTAATTTGTTCTAATTTATTTTTGTATTTTAAATAAATACTTTCATACCTTTTATGGACTTAATTGTGTGTCCCCAGAATTTATACTTTGAAGTCCTAACCCCCAACATGACTATATTCGAAGACAGGGCCTATTAAAAGGTAATCAAAGTTAAATGAAGTCATAATGGTTGGCTCTAAAACAATAGAATTAGTGTCCTTATAAAAAGAAGAGATACTAGAAGTCTCTTTCTCTCTCTCTCCCACCTCCCTCTCCCTTCCAGTTCTCCCCACCCCCATTTTATGTGCACAAAAGAAAGTCAAGTGCGTTGCAGGGAGAAAGCAGCTGTCTGTAACTCAAGGACAGAGGCCTCACCAGAAACCAACCTACTGACACCTCCATCTTGCACTTCCAGTCTCTACAACTTTGAGAAATTTCTGTTGTTTAAGCCATCCAGTCTGTGGTATTTTGTGGCAGGCCAAGCAACCTAACACACTATCTAATTTTGTTTCCATAAATGTAATATTATTTTTTGTAAATAGGCCATCTCTAAATGTTTTTGTTTCATAACTCAAAAAACCTAAATCCATCTTGCTTTTACCTGAAGTATATAAGGAATTTAAAAGATTTTTAACTTCATTTATCCTACATCTGATTTACATGTTTTTGTTGTCCTATATTTTCATTTTATCTTTTTTGTTTGTTTGTTTGAGACAGAATCTCACTATGTCATCCTGGGTAGAGTGCTGTGGCGTCACAGCTCACAAAAACCTCCAACTCCTGGGCTTAAGTGATTCCCTTGCCTCAGCCTCCCAAGTAGCTGGGACGATAGGCGCCTGTCACAATGTCCGCCTAGTTTTTGGTTGTAGTTGTCATTGTTTGGCAGGCCCCAACTGGGTTCAAACCCACTAGCTCCGGTGTATGTGGCTGGCACCCTAGCTGTTGAGCTATAGGCACTGAGCCCATTTTATCTTTTTTTAACCACATAGTATTTTTTTTTTTATATAGTCAATGTTCGTTTAGAATCACCCACATGTTTATTATTCTCTTTGCTCTTTACACCTTTTTATACCTGAGAACACTTCTGCTCTTCCTGAAATACATCCTTTGGAATTTTCTTTGGTGGTGATGTGCCATGGCATGAATTTCTTTCTACTTAGTGTGTTTGTAAGATGAAGGGTTTCTTGAATCTGTGTCTCTTATCAGTTATGAATTTTTTTCAGTGATTAACTTACCAAATATTGCCTCTACTCCATTCTTCTCTCCTCTAGGGATTCTACTCAGTTGTGTATTAGATCTTCTTACTTCTACCTTACATGTCCCTTAATATTGCTTTCATATTTTCTAACTCTTTGTCTCTCTATACTACAATCTGGATAATTTCTTATGACCTAGAATAAACTCACTCATCTGTTCACTTGTCTATAATCTGTTGAGTTTTTTATTTCAGTTCTCCAATTTTTTAAAAAGGTTAAAAGATATTTTAATACAATTTAAAGGATTTTTAGTAAGATTTAATAATTTCTCATTAAGATCTACTTGCTTCTTTTTCAAATATAAACTCAATTTTCAATAGTATCCTATTCCACATTTTTCAAGCACATCATTTACTTCTTTAAACATGATCAAGAAGGATTCTTATTTTATACTTTGCAATTCCAATACCGGTAATTTCCAAAATGAGTCTCAATGTTTTTTTCTACTTCTGTTGCTTCTTACTCATGATATCTTATTACTTTTGGTGCTATAACTGCTATCAAATATTCGTTTTCCTTGGAAAACTATTTGTGAAAATTATTTGAGGCCTAAGAGAAGGTGGATGCTTCCACAGAGAATTTATTCTTTTTACTGCCAGACACCTACGAGTGTCAGCTAAAACCATGTTGTTGTTGCTTTTCATTTCAAAGTGTTATGGGGTACAAATGTTTTTGGTTACATGGATCTCTTTTGTTATGTTTGAGGCTGGGCTATAAGTGTGCCCATCACTCATTGTACCTGTTAGGCAGGTTTTTACCCATCACATCCTCCCCCCTCCTCCTGCTTGATTCCCACTGTTTTACTTCTCTATGAGCACATATGTGCTCATCAGTTAGTTCCAATTTAACAGCAAGTACATGTGGGTTTTTTTTTCTATTAAGACTATGTTAAACTATATTCACAGTTTGGCTTTTGTTAGTTTTTGAACTTGCCAATAAATATGAATTTTTGTTGCAAATGTTATAACTTCCCAGGGACATTTTTCTCTATTCTACTCAACATTGAGGCAATATTACTTGCAGTCGCTTGGAAGTGGACAAGCAACTTGAATCTTACTTCACTCTTGAAAGGGTGCCTTTTATAGTGCCAATTTTATAGATTAAGATTTACCAGAGAAATGTTCCTCCCTGTAAAGACCCTGAGTTTTGTCTTTAATCTTTCATACTCTAGCCAGCAAGACTGAGTCTCTTATCTATAAGGTTCAGTAAAAACCCTTAAGGTACAGATGCCTCAGAGTCCTGCTTAACCATGCTGCATTCCCACTTTCATGCACATTTTGGCCTACTATATCAAATATTTTATGCTTGAGGAAGACTTGAGAAAATATTTTATCCAATATTGTTACATTCTTTTCAGTGGGCAGGTTGACTAAAATAATTTAGCCTCTCCTGGAAGGGTTGATTTAAATAATCTAAGTTTCCCAAGTGTTTTCCATCTTCTTAACATTTATATTTCTGGGGAGGGGGGAGGTTTGACAGAAGGAGGGTAAAAGGCAGGACCACACTTATGGAGCATATGACAAGGGTACAAGTCAAATCTGTCAAATGTAGAACATAGATGTTTTGGCACAATAATCAAGTAAATGAGGTAAAAGCTATGTTGATTGGTTTGATCTAACCACGTCAGGTTGTATTAAAAAAAAATCAGCACATTGTACCCTACATATGTGTGAATGTATTCATGATCTATGTGCATTTGACTTAATTAAAAAAAAAAAAGAAAAGAGAAGGTTTGGTAAAACTTCACAATACTTTAAGACAATAAAATTGTTCTCCAGGCTTTATAGAATAGGAGTGAATCTACTCAAATAATATCCAGTTTTCTGTGTTATGATCTAAAGGATAATCATTCATATCATAAACGACTTGTTAAAAATAAATCTTACCATTTATGCATTAAAACTTAAAAAAAATTATGATATTTCTAATCTGCTATTCTATTCTGCAATCTCTTTGTCCTTACACACTTAAAATGTTTTTTATTCTTATTCTCATTTTTAGTGATATTTCAGAAGGAGCAAAAATAACAGATTATGTTCCGTCTTCTGAAGTACTTCCACATATAACCTGATTTTTTGCAGTTACTGTAGAAAATCTGGAAATCCAGAAAAGTATAAAGAATATGAAAAAAATCATTCATAGTCTCACTACCCAGAAGCAGCCACACTTAACATTTTGCCATGTTTTCTTCCAGACATTTTCCTATATAATAATTTTTTTGCATCCTTAAAAGTGTGCTAATAGAAAAATTTCTAAATTGATTTTTGCCTAATTTCATAATTACTTTCCTATGTCATTAAAAGTTATTTGTAAACACCATTTCTAGTAGCTACATAATGTTCTATACTAACAGTCTACAATAATTGTTTTATCTTTTCCTCAGTTGTTAAGATGATTATATTCTCATTTTCTGCTATTCTTAACTAACTTCAATTTCTAACTTCAAGGAGAAACTATAAGAATAAAAATAGAACCACAGCATAATCATAGCTAATCCAGAAGCTATATATCACTTGGAAGTATCAGCAAATCTACCATTACACAGGCTATAACCTCTAAGCTCTATATTTTGAACTTCTAATTTCAGCAACTATATGGTACAGAACTTGCATCACAAGGAAAAAGAGGTTTCACATTCTTCTGAGTTCGTTTGAATGCCTAACAATAGATGTAAAGACAAAAATATTAGAAGGGACTATGGGAAAATGGCAACAGAAAGACTGTTCAGGGGGGATAACTCTATCTCACAAATGAGTCTAAAATAGAGAAAACTCCAGGAGCAGACAATCTGCCCCCCGAAGATGAATCCAAGTCTACGTGGGGCCCTAGTCATTAATGAAAATTGGGACTATTATTCAGCAGATAGTTTTTAAATATCTGAAATTAAGTACCTATGAAAAAGTTCTTTTGAGGGGCCGCGCCTGTGGCTCAAAGAAGTAGGGCACTGGCCCCATCCATATACCAGAGGTGGCAGGTTCAAACCCGGCCATAGCCAAAAAGAAAAGAAAAAGTTCTTTTGAGGGCCATACCCATGGCTCAAAGGAGTAGGGTGCCAGCCCTATATACCAGAGGTGGTGGGTTCAAACCTGGCCCCGGCCAAAAACTTCAAAATAAAAGAAAAAGTCCTTTTGAAACAAAGATGGAAATAACAGAATTTTCTTTAGAAATGGACATTTTATACTATAAAACAGCAAATGTACTGGCCGATTGCATACCTTTCATTAGTTTTGTAGAATTTACATATTTACCCAATGATTCTAACTATGGGAATTTACCCAATGGATATATTCTACACATGTAAGATGATTTATACTTAAAATTATTCACTGCAGAATTTGGCTAGGAGCAATGGCCTGTAATCCTAGCAGTCTGGGAAGCTAAGCTTAGGAGGTTGGAGACCAGCCTGAGCAAGAGCAAGACCTCTATCTCTACTAAAAAATAGAAAAATTAGCCAGGCATTATGTAGGTACTTGTTGTCACAGCTACTTGGAGGTTGAGGCAGGAGGACTGCTTGAACTCAGAAGTTTGAGGTTGCTGCGAGGTAGGCTGATACCTTGGCACTCTAGCCTGCACTTGATCTTAGCCAAAAGGCCAAGAAGCAATGGCATTCTAGCCTGGAACAATAGAGTGAGATTCCATCTCAAAAACAAAACACAAACAAAAAAACCAAGATTATTGATTGCAGCATTTGTTTTCAATGATAAAATACAAATCAAATTAACATAAATAAGGAACTTAATTAAATAAATTACGGTACCTCCATAACTTGCAATACTATGCAGATAATAAAAATGAGTAAGAGAACCCTTTCTGTAATAATATGGGTAGATCACCAAGATATACTGGTATGTGCTAAAAGGACACTTTTTATTTCACATTACTATATATGTTAAGGAAAAAAAGAATATACGCTTTTTTTTAATTCACTGAAAAGATCATAAAATAACTGACAATAGTAGTTTCCTTTCACAGGATGGAAGAGGAAGGATTAAAGAAGGAATGAAAAAAAGGAGGAATACAAATATCCTTTTATATATTTTTAGAGTTGAATCATGTTACTATACTTCATTTTCAAAATAATAAGCAATTTTTAAAAGAAAAGGGATTTTAAAAATTTCTAAAACCTGCAGGAGATAAATGGTTGACATAAAATCTCAGTGGCATTCTTCTAACACAAGGTGTTAAAAAAACTTACACTGACTGAAATTTGCTTGACCATGCTCCAGAAGAATGTAGAGCTGAAGAATAAGTTGTGGGCAGCCTTCCAGGTAAGTCTCAAATAGCCTGAGCATACTCAAATCAGTCATTCTATCTATAACTTCTTTATGTTGATCATCTTGTTCTTCCATGAAGTTATTACTTCTGCTGCTATATTTGAAAGCTATACTGTAACCCTTTTTCAAAGCAAACCAATACCTGTAAAGTAAACATGAACATTTATCTTCAGTCTTACGTTATTTATAACATAAATATTAGTATACATAATTTTGAAAAAAAAAATGTTTAAGTACATAAATTTTCCACACTTTCTTTAGTACAGTTTTTTTGTGAACAACTCATAGGGGCTTTATTGAGATCAGACCCCATAAATTTTTACTGTATGTTTGATATGCCAGTTGCACGCCAGGACTTTTAAACATACGTGATACAATAATTATGTAAAATGAGTAGCTATTATTCCCATTTCACACATGGAAAAACTAAGGCTGAGAAATGTAGTTATTTCCAGAAAGTTACAAAGAATAAGGGGCAGACCTAGGATCCAAACCCAGATCTTACAAGTCCTAGTTTTAACTACTTTCTGAAATGCAAACTGCAATGCTTAGTTCATATGGTTTATCTGAACTATAATACAGATACATTCCCTCAGGACTATGTCAAGGTTGAAGATGAGACTGAACCTTCAAATCTCAAAATCTCTTAAAACATCCTTGCTCAGGTTCTTCTTTTCAAAGAATTTTAAAATGAACATGAGCTATCATCATATAGGTAAAATAAATAACAAAAAAATCGAGATACTCATTTAGAAGAAATCTGAGGCTAGCAGTAAGGTAATCAGAATTCTACTCAGAGCTTATCAAAACTCTTTATCTACACCTCAATTTCCTCACACATTGAAATAAAGGCAATGATATAGATTCTGCTTTTTTTTGGATACAGAGTCTCACTCAATTACCCTGGGGTTGATTGCTATGGCATCCTAGCTCACAGCAACCTCAAACTCTTGGGCTCAAGTAATTCTCTTGCCTCAGCCTCCCCAGTAGCTGGGACTACAGGTGCCTGCCACAATACCCATCTATTTTTGTTTTTAGAGACAGGGCCTCA